AAACACGGAAGAATAAGAAGGTATCAAGTTCAAATTGGTTACACGACTTGGGGTTGCACAAGGGTGAACAATGATTAATAATTTAATAAATTAATATTAAATAAGGTCCTAATAATAGTAATATATATGTAATAGTTATACTAAATCATATATTGTAAGTGACTAAAAAATAAAAAGAGAAATTCATCGCATAATATATATATATTAAATATATATAAAATTAATGAATACATTATATAAATAATATAAATATATTAATTATGATTCAATTTAATATTTATCAATTTGAATTTTGTTAATCAAATCTTAAACTTTTAACATAACAACAACAAGCCTTTATCCCGTATGTGGGGTTGGTTACGTGAAATCCTTTTTCTCCATTAATGTCATGTTAACAAAGATTAAATTCTCATCTAGTCTAATAAAAAAAGATCATTTCTATAAATACTCTAACCAAGCACAATTTTGCTTATCTTTTTGTCAAGGAAAACATAATTTGCACTCATAATAATATTGTAATTTTAAATTTAAATATTTTTCAATTTTTAAATTTGATTTTTAATCTAAATTTAAAATTTACATAACAACAACAAGCCTTTATCCCGCTATGTGGGGTCGGTTACGTGAATCCTTTTTCTCCATTATGTCATGTTAAAAGTTAAATTCTCATCTAGATCTAATAAAGAAAGATCATTTCTAAAATCTTCTAACCAAGCCTTTTTAGCTTATCCTTTTGTCAAGGAAACATGAGGCCTACCTTAGCATTTTTGCTAGAAAGTTAGGTTTAGCTCATCCTAAATTGACAGGGAACATTAAAATGTGACAAGCATTAATGACTTGAGCTACCTTAAGTTCGAGTTAAGCTCGGCGCCTATGTGGTATATAATGACAACTAGATGATTAAAGTAGAGGACGAAGGGCATTCTATCTTATACTTACTCGGCCAGTTCACTGCCCAATCAGCATCATAGACTTCAGACTTCAATTGAATTTTTGCTTACATAAATGCTCCCTAAAGATCTTATATTTGGCCAATTATGAATGGATTTTGAGTTTCCTTTAATATAACTGTAAAATTTTAATATGAAGAACTAAAGTCGACAACCTTCACATGTAATTCTTTCTTATAGTGAACTGACGAAATACATAATGAACACAAAAAACTAATACAAACTTCATTATAAAAGAACACCCAGAAGAGCTGAAACAATTCTCTTCTGCAATTGGTAGTTTAAGATGCTTATGAAGAAGCTCCATCTTCATTTTGTATAGAGGGTCATATAATGGCACATCCATGAAGATTTGGACCTGGCATCCATTGAGATATCTCTTAGGAACGAAGAATAAATTGCAATGACAATGTGCCAGATGAATGCTAGTAGCACTTTTAAAAAAAGCTCTCCATATCAATAAAGATTGCAAGAATAGAAGTTGAATCTAGTGCACAAGACTCCCTCCAATGCAGGGTCTTGAAGGGACTGAAGTATTGAGAATTACTTTTGCAATGGAAAGAGAAAAAGCTTGCATGATTCTAACCGGTGTCTAGGTTCACAATGAAGCAGTCTAACCATTTCTCTTCAACCACCACTTAAAAATATGGCATAAATACAACTACGTAAACACAGTAAATAAACTTATTAGTAGAAAAAATAAATTTTAAGAGAAAGAGACCATTCAAAATAGTTTCCACACTCTAGATCAAACTTGAAACTATGCCGTGGTGTTTAATCTAACAATTTGAATCAAATTCAACATGAATTAGTGCAGGAACTACTGTCGTCTGCTTCCTCAAGCTGTCATAACTCTTCATGTGCTGCTTCGCATCAACCATATGCTTGCTAATTTAATTCCCTCCCACTCGTGAGTTGGCTGAAGTTTAATTATAATGCTTATAAGTTATAAAGAAAAATATGTTGGTGAGGAAATACTAATAGTTGATCATCACTCATAAACTTAGTTTTTAAGTTAAAAATAAGTTAAACAACTAATACTAGACCGAACAATGGTCCTATTTTAGTTCAACAGTCAGCGAAAATTAATATCACAATTGAATATTCGATTTGGATTTGTTGTTCATACGGTTCATGCCACCCATGAGCCTTGGCGGGATTCAACCATAGTCAAGCAAGGTTCAAAAGTGAGTAACTCTAATACGGAAAATCATGAACCAAGTCATCGTCAACATTGTTGTCATGCCACAATCTAGATTTTATGTATCTCAAACCCAAGTTGTATATACGAGTCTGTATGAATGTTTCCTTTTATGTATGGTGAGCTATTATGTTATTTTATAGTTTTTGAGTCTTTTAATGCATTTTTGGTCATATAAAATCACGAGTCAATATGAGTTATTTAGTTGTATGGCATCACATGGAGAGGGAAGTGGGCCCCACTCCCTTTGATCATCACCCATTTCTCTCTCTTCTCGATTGCTTTAATTCCATGGCCTTCTGACTTTTGCATCTCCTAAAATTCACCTCCATTAAAATTGACTACTCGTTTAACACTCCAATAATGTAATTTTGGACTTCTCCATCCTCCCCTCTTCATTTATTTGGTATTTTTTGGTCTCCTCTTCAAAACTATCAATTTTGGGTCTCAAATAATAAAATTAAATTTTTAGTGTTTCAATCTCTTGTATACTTAGTTGCTAGAAAGGCATACTTCTTTTGTAGGAGCGTGCAATATTTTGAGAAGGATTTTCAAGGCTAAAAGATTGATAGCATGATGAAGGGTTGTTTGTGGTTGCTAGCTTCTTGTTATTTATTATCACTGCTGATTTTGTTTATTGATCTTCCTCCTCCAAAGATCTCCCTCAAAACCTTTCTTTAACTCTATTTTATTGTGATAGTTTAGGGTTGATAAAAATACGAGCTTTCATTTAGATTTTACTTGTTTGTTAATGACAATTTTCTTGCTGCAATATTTTCTATTTAGCATTGTACTTAAGCCCATATCTTTTTGCTTTAGTCATGGATGCTCTCACTAGATATTTGCAAGAGGCTTTACCCAAGTGTATGATTTTTGCTGATGATATTCTTCTTATTGATAAGGCTAGAGAGGGAGTTGAAGGTAAACTTGAATTATGGAGGTCAACCTTAAGAGTCTAAAGGTTTTCGTTTGAGTATATCTAAAACTAAATATATGGAGCGTAATTTTAGTAGTAATAGATCTAGTGGAGGGTTTGCAACTTTGGGCGATCAAGTCATTAATACGAGTACACATTTTAGATATCTTGGGTCTATTGTTCAGAGTGATGGTGAAACAGATGGGGATATTATTAGAAAAATTCAGGTTGGATGGTTAAAGTGGAGGAATGCATCGGGCTTGTTGTGTGATAGAAAAGTCTCCCTCAAACTTAAGGAAAAATTCTATAAGATGGTGGTGAGACCTACAATGCTTTATGTTGCAAAATGTTGGCCTTTAAAAGAGAAGCATAATATTAAATTAAGTTGTAAGAATAGGTCCAGCCAGCCGGTTCAATTGAGACGACTATTATTAGCAGCAAGCGAAACAAACAACTCGAACAAATGGCGCGGGTGCGGGAAGGGCTGGCGGAGTAGGATCGTGCAATTGAGCGAGGAAATGCATTCGAATGCGAAAAGTAGAGACTCCTCATGTGAGATACATTCATTTCGCTCACTCCATTGGAAGTAAAGTGTGTGAGAAACTCTGTGCCGAGAGGAAAGAAGGAGAAATGATAGGAGTGAGACCTGTGATCGAACCAGTGGGGAGAGATCAAGAGAAAGAGAGGAGTTGAGCCAAGGAGAGGATGAGGCCGTGCGTAAGCTTGAGTAAGAGGCGATCGTGGGCAAGGGCAAGGGCAATGGCAAATTAAGAAAAGAATATTATTTTAAATTTTAGTAATATATTGAGAGATAATTATATATGTAAATATAAAAACTATCTATGTGCATTCAATAGCTAGTTCAAGAGAAAGAGAATAATTTTAAGTAATAATATTTGAGATGTTAATCAAACTAATTAATTTTAATTAAACAAGTTAGATAAATTAAGAGAAATTTATCAATTAAATCTTAACAAACGAGGTCTTTCTAGGTATTAAATCTACCATCATCAGAGTAAGGAGTAAGAACGAACTTTTAGTAATGATATTTGCTTCTCCTACACATGATACATCAAATGTTATTATTATTTAATTTTTTATAGTTAATGTTTTCTATGATTTTTTTTATTAAAGATAATTGATCATGTTGAACTAAAACCTTGAATTTTTATATCATATAGAGATCGCTCATCCTATATCATGATGTTTAATTTATGTCAATATGAAATGATATGATTTATGCTTGTATGTGCATGTTGACTGATGGAGCACACCGCTTTATGTTACTGGCTCGGGATGCAATGTACCCATGCACGTAAATTAAAAAAGATTATTAAAAAGAATAGGAAAAGAAGTATCATCATTGGTACTATATTTTTAGACGGTGGCTCTTATGACAGTTTTATTATTTATGAGAAAGAATAAATATATTGACAAAGATATATTATGTATAATATTGATGATCATATATGAAATGAGTTTAAAGGGTATTATTTTATGTTTGAAAATGAGCACGCATATTATTTCAAAAGCCTTGTGTTACTATAATTTAGAAGCATGAGTTACTGAGTTCTATACAATTCACTGTTGTTTCCAATAACATTTTCAGGTATAATTCGATTAATTAAAACGAGCATAAGAGATGATAATGTGTATCATAGGCGCGACGCTCCAAGGGAAATTTATTTGATTTACTTTATTTTAAATATTTTGAGGTTTATAGTGGCTCTTTCAGTTTATTCTAGATAGTTTAAAAAATGAAAATTAATCAACTCTCCGATCGTTTGTTTCCGCTTAGTTAATTCGAGTGTCCGGATCGGGTCTTGACATAAGCATTGCAGAGATGAGGAAACTCCGGTGGATGAGTGGCTTTACTCTTAGAGTATGGATACAAAATGAGCATATACATAAAAAGGTTGGAGCTCCATGGGAAGATAAGATTAGAGAGAGTCGCCTTAGATGGTTTGGTCACATAAAACAGCGGCCTTCCGATGGCCCGGTTAGGAAAGTAGATGTATACTTGGCTTATGTTAAGAATGGTAGAGGTAGACCTAAAAAAACTTGGTTAGAAATTATTAGAAATGACCTTTCTTTTTTAGATTTAAATGAAAATTTGACTCTTAACAAGACACAATTGAGAAAAAGGATTCATGTAGCCAATCCCACGTAGTGGAATAAAAGCTTGATATTGTTGTTGTTGTTGTTATTGTACTTAAGCTCATCGAATCTAGTTTAAAAATCTATTTTTTAATGCTTACTTTCAATTTTATAAGCAATTGGATATGAAGTGACTTTATTCTTCTTAAGTTATTGTAGTTTAAGTTCAAACTTTAACATGAAGATGGATCCTTATATGCATTACTTAGATGACCAAGTTTAGTTTTTCTGCATCATGTTTGGTTTCAGATCAAGTTAATCTTATTTTGTTTGCTATTTAGGGCCTTCTATATCTATATTTTATCCTTTATTCTTCCTTGTTTTTTTTTCCAAAGTCTTGTTACAATGATCACCAGTGGTGGACTCCCTCATTGGGGTTGGCTATCCGATTAAAAGTGAGATGAAATTTTAATTTGACTTAAAGAACAACTTCATGACATGTCTCTCATGCATTAAGGCATGTATAGGATTCATGCATTAGAAATAGGATCTCTCAATAGCCTAGGCAACATAACCCCAAACCTTATCCTAAATAAAGGATTAATCCTGAGGAAAGTGGAAGGGCCATCCTCTTGATCCAAATGATACATCCCGAGATCTACCACACAGAAATCAAGCTTGCCTTATAAATGATTAACATTTAAAGAAAGGCATCCCACCATATAGCCAACAAGCCTTTTGGAAGATAGGGTGACTATTCTCATCAACCTTTTCCCCAATAGCTATACCCCTCGTTGCTTGAAGGAATCTCGCCAAGGTTATAATATGTATTATATTGCCTCAAGGATGACGATTGTAACCAAGATGATGACATCACTAGAATGGTCAAAATTAATCTTCCTCTTTTTAATGGTTGTTTTGATTCTAAAACCTTCTCAAGCTAGCTCGCAACATTAACCCTAACTTGAATTGGATGACTATGTCAAAGAACCATCAAGTTAGTTTTGCTCATATGAAGTTGGTAATATATGCCAAAACATACCAAGTGAACCTAAAATTAACTCCAAAGGTTACAGCAATTACAAATTTACTCTTAGGAAAAATGAAATGAACTATGTAACCAAAGTATCTTCTTTGCCATTCC